CTTCCAAGACATAGTACCTTTCACGCAAGACTGAACTGTGTCCTGGTTAGATTGTGTGGCAAGGTTTTATTATTTTGTTTAAGTTTAAGCCAACTGTTTAAATTACTCCTTAAGTGGTTGTTATAATGTCCCAGGTAGTTTGTAGTTAACTTTTTTATATCTGTTCTGTCATCTCTCTGTGTTTACTTCATTCATAGTGAAGAAGTGAAGAGAGTATTTGATAACTGCGCATATGTTTTTCATTATCTTTTCTTGAAGCTATAAATTTCCTGCATGAGTAGCATTAAACTGTTTTCTTAAAAAGTCTAACCACTTTAAGAGTGTACATTCTAATATCTGTTGTATTTGTGTGTACAGTTTCGATGATTCTTTTCTTGGTCATTTAACAGTGAACGTCATGCAGCCCAGTGGGCAGTAAGTCTTGACTTATACAATGCATTGATATTTAGTCATAAACATGTATTAACTATTTTATTTTTGTATGTGTGTGTCTTAATAAATTGTGTTCCTTAGGCAACTTGTTCCAGCGATGGCATGTTCCTCTAGAACTCCAGATGACAAGACAAATGGCTAGCCCTGGTTCATCAGGGGGCAAAATCGATAATTCTGTGTTAGTCCTTTTTGTGGGCTTATCAACAATAGGTGCTGGTGCATATGTAAGTAGAAAAGCAGTTTGTATAAAGAAGCTGCCCAACAGCTCCCATTAATAGACTCAATACTACTCTGCTTTAAAACTTTTGCAACTAATTCCCTTTTCTCCTTTTGGAAAAATATCCAATAAGTTCTTTAACATGCCTACTGCCTAATATCTATGAGAGCCGATTTGGGAATGACTGAAACTTAATCTCATGTTGATTATCTTTGTTCTTTTCACTTGTCTCTTTACTCTTTACTTGAAAGCCACTGTGTTTTCTTAGGTTTGACCAATTACCAAAAAATTGTACCTTTTCTCTTGAATATGACACACTAACCTGTGAATAGGCCAAAATTTATTGCAGCTCCTTAGCACAATATTTGATTTTGACCCATTTGTCAAATATTTTATTTTCCCTAGGTTGAGATAGACATTAAAAACAAAAACAACAGTTTTCAATCCAAAATATTAAATGTTCCTAAAAGGAAAACTATTCTTGAATCTCACCCAAAGACTAAATTATAAAAGTTGGCCTAGTATCTCTAATTTTAGAATGGAGTTTGCGTGAAGTGAGGAAATGTGCTTTTAACTGCTATGTAGTAATAGCACAATTATATCTCCTTAAGTGAACTCTGATCAGCTTAGTTGCTCACAGAGGAATTATTTTGTATGCATTTGTTTTAACTTGGCAGGGTTTACTGTGACTAAGCAGATCAGTCCAAAGTTGGATCATGTAAGGTTGAGGAACCAACTTAGATAACACATAGCAACACCCTTGATGAAGAAATCTGTTTTACTTACTAAGAGCAAATGGTTGAACACCATTTTAATTTTAGTTCTTTCTACATTGGTAAGACAGTGAAATTATTGTTGTCAATCACTAGGTTAAAATAAACATGAAAATTATTTGAAGTTATCTAAATTGTCATTCCCTGACCAGACTCCCACATGCACAAGTAAAGTAGATAGCTCTTGCCAATTATGAGTCATATCAGAGTAAAAAATAGGTGAGCTCTGTCAGAGAATAGACTTTGAGGAAATATACATTCTTCTCCAATCCTGGAGCAGCATTTTAAAAAAATTTTTTAGCACAGGGTAACCAAACATGCATCCCTGCCTTTGTGTTGAATGTTTCTACATTAATACTTAGTGCTTTTTAAAATTTCCTTTTGTTTCTTTCTTGGCCTTATCTTTATCTACAGTTGTGCAGTGTCATCACCTAGGATACCCTTCTAGATCACTAGCGTCTACAGGTGCTTCTGGGAAAGATGGCAGCAGACTAGTATACTTCTTAATTGTAGGAGCAACAGTCACTGGGGCAGGAGTTTATTATGTAAGATGCTTACACTAAATTATATTTTGGGGTAGGGTGGGTGAGACCATGGCACTAATGAAAACTTGATCCATTAGAATACAATGAAGTATTCACAGCATGTGTTTTCTGGGTATTTAATAAAGGGACATTGTCAGTTACTAGGGAGTCCTTAAATCTCATTTTTCCAACTGCTGAAGTCTTACCGGATATATCTAAAACCATACATTTAATGATGATAAATCCTCATCATCAACCCTTTCTTTAAAATTTTTGCCAATTCCATAATTGTTTTTTATGATGCTAACTTATATTGTGCTTTAGTGCTGCATACCTAACAAGACAGTCTCAAAGAGTAAATGTTGAATAAACAAATAAAGATAACTTGAACACCATTCATTTTGAATCATTTGAGGTAAAATGTAATTTTTGTGTTTTATGGGAAACAACTCTACTGTTATTGTGAAAAAGCATTTTATTGAATACTTCTGAGGAGGTCCAAAAAGTCAGAAATTGCAATATTCTCCTCACACACCCCCAGCCTCTATTTCAAAATGAACTCATTTGGCACTGTCCCTTTCGTAATATCTTATTTGGTCAAACTAGTGGCTGAAGTGGTATAAGCTAACACATTTCTGTAGATTGCTTTCTTAAATGCCTCTCATTTATAATTCAGATACCATCCTCTGAGTCTTAACTTTTCCCATTTCATAACTTTCTTTACTTTTCCCATCAGTTCCATCTTATTCATTCAAAAATTGATTTAAAATGTTTGCATCTGATATTTTTGTAACAGTTTAAACCTATTAAACCTTTGGCTTATGTTACTGTACCAGAGTTGAATGGCCTCCACAGAGCTGACCACAACAAATCTTTTGATGCCAGGCACCAAAGATAGGGCCAGTCACTGTTGCTTCCTCCTGCCTTAGAAATATCTGAGTCTACGGCCATGCCACCCTGAACGAGCCCAATCTCGCCTGATCTCGGAAGCTAAGCAGGGTTGGGCCTGGTTAGTACTGGATGGGAGACCACCTAGGAAGACCAGGTGCTGTAGGCATAAAAAAATTTAAAAAATAAGGGATTGTAAGCTGACAAGGTCCTTGCAATCTGTAAGGTCAACCAAGGGTTGCCTCGCCTAAAAAAAACAGAAAAGAAAAAAATATTTATGAATCACAAGTTTCTCTCAGGCCATTCAGTTAAATACCTCATTGCCTTCTGTGTTTATCCAACACTGGTAATAATAAAGCTACTATATTATAGTGGTTTTAGGTTAAATGATAAGCTTTTGTCTACCTACAGCTGTTACCAAACTATTTTCTGTAGTTTTATACTAGGTTTTTAAATCATTTAAAATGTAATCTGAGGTGGCTTAATTTTTTTTCTCTGAAATTGGTATTAGTCTAAAGAGAACTGTTAACTTAAAATCAGACTTCAGATTCAATGAGCTATGGCTCTAAGTTGTTTAGCATTTGTATTAATCTGCTCTAGCTACCATAACGAAATATCACAGACTGGGTGGCTTAAACAACAGAAATGTATTCCCTCACAGTCAGAATACTGGAAGTCCAAGATCAGGGTGCCAGTATGGTCAGATTCTGATGAGAATACTCTTCTTGGCTTGCAGGTGGCCACCTTCTCCTCTGTCCTCACATGGAGAAAAGAATATGAGCTCTTTCTCTCCTCTTTTTATAAGGGCACCAGCCCTATCAGATTAGGGCCTCACTCTTATGACTCCATTTAACCTTTATCACCCCCCTAAAGTCCTGTCTCCAAATACCATCACATTGGAAATTAGAGCTTCAACATATGTGCTTGAGGTGTACACAAGCATTGAGTCCACAACAGTGTTCCTTTGTAACTTTTCTCTCTCATAGGAGGACATGTTCCTAATTTAAGTATAGAGACTACATTAGCAATTCCTGAACTGGGAGCCTTTTATCTGCCCCCCAAATCTACCTTCCAAAAATAAAGGAGGTTTTTCTGAAAAGTTTGCCAAGGGTCTGTACTTTAAACCAGTGGTTTTCTAAACGTTTTACCACACAATCCACAGGAAGAAATACATTTTATCTTGCAACCATTATATAACTATAAATATGTAAAACTGAAAATGTCAAAATAATACTCAGTAGGTATAATATACTCCAATAGTTTCTATTCTCTTCTATTTATTTTTTTTAATGCTGGTCATAACCTACTAAGTTGATTTTACAGCCTATTAATAGATTGCAACCTCAGTTTGAAAAACACTGATTCGAACACTTCTTCAGCTTAGATTGCAAACAGGAATTCCTGATTGGCGTGGATGTGAGCATTTCTCCCCTCTTGTTAGAGACTTTTACTAGGATCACAGGCACATCTTTAAGTCCTATTATTTGTCAGTGAGCAGAGCTAAATAGCCTTTAGGACATTTAATGAGATTTAGTATTTGGGCCCCTTGCCATTGTTCAATTGATAGGATCGTGTTGCCTCACTGAGAAAATGACCTGTTTCCTTTCAAATTTCTTTAAGTTGGATAAATGCTGCCATATTCATCTTTTAAAAAAAGTTATCTCCACTAATATTTTCATAAATTTGTAGTTTTCCTTTACCTTACATGTATTCATGTAACTAATTGGAAATCTGTGCAAACTGGGAATATAGAAACACTTGGGGGAAAGGTAAATTTTTAGTATGTCTGTAAACTTATTTTTATATTAGAATATTTACTTACAAGCTAAATAGATAAATATATATGATTATAAATATAAGACAAACCTTATTCTTGTCCTTCCCCACCAAACCTCAAAATATTTCTTGGTCTGCTCTTCCCCTCATGTGTGAAGCCATTAGGAGATATGAGAGGGCCTAGGCTATTTTTGCATATCCTTCTCAATGTGAACATAACCCCAGTTTATTTTTCTGTTCACTAACATTGACCAGCTTAAGCCATCTTTTTAGGTAAAAGTCTCTTTCTTAAAAGATATGCACACACATATTTGCTTGTTTTGGGTATGAGTAAATACTAGACTTATATAGAATACCTGATGACAAGATTTAAAGAAAACGTTCTTAATACCAGTTGAATTCAATTTATTTGGTGAACTTAGTGGTATATTCAAGGAATAACCATTATCTTTTAACATACAGTACTTAATTTTCTAATCCATTCATATCATATGTTGGATGTTTCCAGGCTGATAAGCGTTAAGTCCAGGTCTCAGGAGCCAGGTTCCTTATTATAGTATGTTGCCTAATGAGCTGCTCTATAAAAGGCTCATAGAAATATTCTTAGAGCCTACATAATACTTCCTCTGATTGTCCTTTCTCTTCCAATTAATTAATAATCTGGGATTTCAGTTGATACAGGGTCACTTAAATTTCTGTCTCGTTGACCCTGTGGGGTACAAAAGAGTAAAAAGTGTAATTAAAACAAGTCATCCTTGCCTACCATTCTAAAAAAAAATCCAATAAACTGATACCGTATGTTAAAAAACAACTAGTTATAATGCTAAGATATGCTTCTTCAGTTTGAAAGGATAGAGAACATAGTATATTTGAAATACCACAGGTGTTTAAGCAAGGTGTTTAACCTTTAATGAAAATCTGAGTGTCATAAAAGGGCAGACCATTAAGGGAAAGATTAGTTACTCTATCAGACTAGTATACAGGAGGTCATATTTCAGGGCATTATCTGAGTACCCAGCAAAAATTGATTTGCCTACCAGGAAATCTTCTGTCCTGGCTTCCTACTCTGGACCATATAGATTGATTTCACAGCTAGTATCCCGCTAGTCCAAAATCCTTTTTATAAAGTTCAGCCCTTCCTAGCATTTTATTCTTCTAATGTAAAGTGTTTTTCTTTTTCCTTTAGCTGTACCTTCAGAATTAAATACAGTATGAGGAAAATTCTTCACATAGACCCTAAGGAAATCTGAAACTAGAACAATTTCATTTGCTTAACCTATATTCTTTCTACACCAAGTGTGTACATATTCAGTATTTTTATTTCTTAAGAAAATAATTTTGCCTTAGTGATTTTCACATAGAACTTGCCTCATGTAGACAAAAGCTTCTCATTTAATTGGAAGATAATGATATTACTGATGGTACGAGCTCGCTATATGATGAAATAAATTTTCTCCATGTTTGGATCTACAGGCCTATAAGATTATAAAAGATGATCAAGAAAGATATAATGAAAGAATTTCAGGATTAGGGCTGACACCAGAAGAGAAACAGAAAAGGTCCACATCATCTGGTGAGTATGATTTGAGGTTCAGTATATGAAGGGAAAATTAGAAACAGTTTAGATGCTATGCTTTGTGGATATCTTGTCGACACGAAGATGCCATGAGATTATAAGCTTCCAGAAACTATGATATTACACCAGGCCTGGCAGCAATTTGTTAAAGTGTTTGACTGGAATTTGGGTTTGAGAATAAAATTAGTGCTAATTATGATTGGTTTTTCCTTATATTAGACTCTTAAGAGGCAAGCTTTAAATTTAAAAAGCAAGCTTGGCAAGGAAAATTATTGGAAAAGAGATGAAGGCCCTTTTTCAGTGAGGAAATTCTTTTGATCTGTTTTGTTCCCCTTTTGAGTCTTTGGTTTTGAGTTGTTAAAGATGTATTTGTTTTCCTAAAGCATATAGCCCTAGACAGCACTTCCATTGTCCATGACTGGCTTGGTTTTTCACAGAAGAATGTTTTAATCCTTTAATAAGCTCCACAACCCTGCGTGGGCAATTTATATTGCTTTCTTCAATAACATCTCCTTATTCTTGAACATTTTATAATAATCTTCAATTGACCTACTGGATTTTCCCCTTTTATTGATAACAAAAGGTGAAACTGAACTTGATATTTTTTTGTTGGGCATTAGGAAATTAATGCAAAAGGCAGAAGCCTTCTAATATATATTTTCTAACAGATTTTAGAAATAGATAAATATTTAAGCCAGGTTCTAGTTCTGATAGACTTGATGAATGAATGACATTGGCTAAATCATTCACTTCTTTTTTGGGTATTTGTCACTTATGAAATGAAGAGAATACTTGCTTTTCTTGTCCCATCAGGATGCTGTGAAGTTTGTTAAGATAAATGTAGGTACAGTGTTTTGCTAGCTTTATGTAAAGGATTGAGGTAAGTGCAAGGTGATTTTTTTTAAATAGTGGCAAGGAGTCATCTGAGACTTTAAGAAAATTCACCATGTCTGTTCTGTTGCTTACAGCTCTGGAAGGAGAGCCAGTTCCTAAAGTCAGGGTACCAAGTCATGTTCCATT